CTCTATACGCAATATCCGAGCTTTCTGGGTGCCGCGGCCCAAGCGCCTGGAAATGCCAACAAGAGCTGCTTGCCGTGATTTGCAGTGCGCAGTGCTTAAACTCAGTGCCCAACGTAGCACCATGTGCAAGCACAAACAGGCCTTTTTTGCTGTGGATACTAGCTCTTTAGCCAACTGGAAAGGTCTTTTGCAGGCGTGCCAGTGGCGTACTAAAGCGGCGTATTGGTTCATGCACCAACTTCAGCCAAACTTGGTAGCTTCCCGCGGACTGTGCCACAAACTAAGCCCAGCTCAGCCGCTCCACGTTTCTTAGCGCGGTTCTCGACGTTTTGTTATGCGATTTCTCAATCGTATCCAAGCACTTTTGCGAATTGTAACAGAGCCAACTACTCAAGACACGGCTTCCGTAGAGCAGATGTCTTCCCTCCCCAACCACCAAGTGCCCTGAGCCGAGCAGCCCTAAAACCTGGAGATGCGATAAAGGAGGCTGCATATAATGAATCCAACTCAACGTACTGGAAGTGATGCAACAATACAGCCCCACATGAATTCCCCATCAGGTATCTTTTGTTCCATGCAGTATGCAGAATGGACACGCTGTGGTGTGCTCACATGTAGGCCACTTGTGCTTGTTTCCAAATGATTCAAAGTCGTAAACTCTTGGCAACCCGGGAAAAGCGTCATATACCAGCTACGGTGCCACATTTTTGCGTGTTTGCCGTGGCACATGTTCTCAAAGCCCGAACAGGTAAATACGTGGCTTCTTCAGGAGCAGTGGATGACTCCACAGGGAGCAACGGAGACATCGGTTGTTTTATACACTCGTAAATACATGAAGGTCATCCTGTGCACCGATTGATTCCTTAATTATCTTCGAGAGTCCATCTCCGGAGGAGCTTGCTTAACTGGATTGCCACGTAAAATAAGGCATTGGCCCCCGTGAAGGGCGAGCTCGAAAACCACAAAGTGGATGGTCATGATTAACTCGCTGTTTTATGTTTCACCAGGAGAAATGTAAGCCTGTGATCAGGGTTGTACGTCGTGTGTGGGGACCGACCGCCGTGAGAGACACAACAGTCGAAGAAGTAATTAAAATCCAGGAAAGCCTGATCTTGTGAGTATATGTGCCCTCCTCCCACTGTGCATCCGAGACGAAGCGGCAAAGACCCTTAGGATTGTTGAGGGGAGGAGGGTTCTGGCGACGATCTGCTGCAGTCTTTGCTGCATGTGGCATAATGTGGTTAAAGTTGGTGCATGCCGCTCTGTTCGCGCGCACCTAGTTCACTGAAGGCCATGGAAACACTTAACAGTTACGACCGGCGTTCACCCATGCATCGAAATTTGTGTCACCTCTGGCTTCATATGGGGCTGCTTTGCAGCCACAACGGTAACGAGAAGTTTTCCAACTCGTGCCAGGCATCCGCCCGTCCTAGCATGCCCCTAAACCGTATGCCGCAGTGCCCACGATTCCAGGAGTGTAGAAAACAGGGTATGAACTGTTTGGAGAGACTGCTATTTTGAGTGTTTTGACTCTATCGCGGTTCAGGGCAACCATCTGCTAATGTCGAGAAGCTGCAGCATCCTGCACAGCCAGTTGCAAGGCAACCCCTAAAGCAAGCATAACCCAACACACTTTGCAAGCATGCAAGCAATAATACTGTCAACAAGTCTTCAACAATGAATTTGCTTTCAGCAGCCTGCCTGATCGCATGTAGGATTAGATGTACCAACGTCATGTGTTAAGCAACCACCGTCATCGATTCCAGTCGGTGAACTCGGTAAGGAGTAACGGCTGAGCCTTATTTGCTTGAAATAATTTGAAAAAACGATTAGCCACTACAAGTCCTTCCTTGGATCCTTCCTTCAATACAAATGAAGTGCTAGGCCTGGATCTCTGATCATATCTGTCCACGCAGTGCTGACGTAGGATCGATATCAACGAAGATATCCGTTTCACCGAGATGCGCTGGTTGTTCAATCGTTCAGAAGACTAGTTTACTTGTGTTATAGATATTGATTCGATTCGATGGTCTTGAACAGTCATTGCTGCATGCTCCCGCTCTGCTTTGCTGGTTGGGAACTCTGCGCTGGAGCGACTGTCAAGCCTGCAATGGAAAGACGAGGGGTCCTGGTCTGCCAGGGAACCCCAGCTACAAATGCAAGCTGGGTTGGCAACGTAAAACATACCCTATAGCATTTGACATTTTAACATTCTGTTCAGCATTTGTGGATCACCTCAAAATTCTTTTTTGTTACTCCCCCCCCAGTGATTGACGTCCCCAAACAGCTTCGTCGCCGAAAGGAATGGTATTTTCGAAACATCGGTCCTGTTTTCCTCGTTGATCCTTGATACCGGGAACTCTCCTCAATTTTTCTTGAGTCTTTTTCCAAGTGCTAATCGGCCTCGATGTGTGTAGGAGTGGCTCAACATTTTGAGAGTATAATTTATGTAGGTCTCTACGTCGGGCTCCATGGAGGTCAGCTGGCTGCCGAAGGAGAAGCGAGTTACATGGCACCAGAATACCTCCCAGCCGTATTTAGACTTGCCTGCCGCACCCCATGAGAAAGATGCAAAAGACTCGTCGTCATGCTCAGGGTACAGAGCCTGCCATGCGGCGCCTCACAGGAAAGGACAGCAGCTGGTTGCTGCACTTGCTACAGTGTCAGCTGTCATCTTCCTTGCCTACCTGTGCAGTTTGTCAATTCGAGGGAGACTGTCCAAACGATTATTTGGGCGCAAACTCGCCGGAGGCGAGGATGGCAAAGAAAACAATGAGACAGATCCGTGCGTCCCACACAGTGACACGGGCGTAGAGGCCTTTCCAGGTACCCCAGAGCAACCTAGCGAGGGTCGGATCCCTAGCGCGCATGGGCAGGCTCTTCCTGCTCCATCTTGGAGTGGCGAGTCGGAAACTGCATATCGTATTGCGCTGTCACTAATGGGTGGTACAGCTGCTTCTGTCGAAGGCCTTTACCGTGCAGCAAGACCTCCTCTAGAACCAGCTGAAGAGAAGAGGGGTGAAAAGAGAAAGGAAAGCGAAACCGATGGTGTAGGGCGTGGGGCCAAGGTACAGAAATTGGAGGCACCGATTCATCACAGCCTTCTTGGACCATCGGTACCCCAACTAGACCCTGAACTCGATTCACTTATTGATTTCATCTTATCTGAAGGCGTTCCTGTGCTAGGGGAGGATTCGTGGCTCCTTGATGACGATATAGCCTATATGACACCATCAAGATTGGAAAGTGAAGATACAACGCCTGCAGAAATGTATGTAGGCCAGCAGAGCCACGATGCGCCTACGCGAACATCCAAAAGGCCGCCTCCACTACTATCTGGGAACCTGTCTACTCTGGATAGCAGTGACTCGCGCGCCATGAGTCCGTTGAGCGTTTTCGAGTCGGTGCTGTCGGAACCCAGCCAGAGCAGTGTGGGCCTCCGCCCAGATGATTGGTTGTTGAGTGGCGATGCGGAGGTTGTGGACGAGGCATTGGACCTGATCGACTTAGGTACAAAACCTTCTATGTTGTTAGGTAGTAGAGGGGACAGCCAGAAAGGGGAAGGATCTCGCGCGAAAGCCGCTACCGAAGACCAAATATATGGGGGGGCAGCTTCGAGCTCGAGATCAATCCGCGACTCTCTCATGGAAGCAATTCAGGTGGGGCCTCTAAATACACTGAAGGACTGTTGTCTTGGCGCCTCGAGCCATCAACCTGCAGTTGCCCGGCTTTGATTTAGCCGTGGTGAAGGGTGGATTCCTGTGTGCGCTATGCGTATGGTTGAGTAGGAACCAGCAGAAATATTGCTTGGAATACCTTCGGCCTCTACTGATCCTGAGCCTGCAGGGGCAGCAGGCGTGTTAGAATCACCCGTTCTTCGAAGCTTATTGTCTTCTTCTTCTACTGGAAGCATCCAGCCTTCATCGCCGAAAGGCAGTGAAGATTCCCTGCAGGTAGGCTGACCATCGGAAGAGCTTGGCGTTTTACTATGGCACGACACCGGCAACCAAGAAGTACTTTTGGGTCAACGTGTGCTCGTTGCATATGAGTCTCTGGAATGTCCCTTGGTCTTTGCCGAGGCGATGTGGTAGTCATTTCCTTTTCGCCACCATAAAACTTGGAGTGGGGCTACCCGGCATGTTGTCATTGTGGAGGCATCCGAATAGACTGAAGGGCTGTTGTCCCGTCGCCACGAGCTTCCAAACTGCATTTGCCCGAGTGTGATTTTGTCGTTATGAATGGTAGATTTCTGTGTGCCGTATGTGTGTTGTGGAGTAGGAACCAGCAGAAATGTCGCCTGGAATGTCTTCGACGTCTATTGATCCGGAGCAGGGAGGAGCAGGAGGCGTTGTAGAATCATCTGCGCTTGGAGGCGTATTGTCGTCATCTTCTACTGGCAGCATCCAGCCTTCATCGTCGAAGCGTAGTGAAGCTTCCCTGCAGGTAGGCTGACCATCTGAAGAGGTTGGGTTTTTACTTTAGCACGACACCTGCGACTAAGGAGTACTTTTGAATCATTTTGAGCTCGTTGCCTCTGTCTCGTGGTATGTGTCCTTTGCTCTTCGTCGAGGTGGTCTGGTGGTCATTTCTGTTTCGCAAGTATAAAGCGTGGAATGGGGCTGCCGGGCGTGCTGTCATTGTGGTGTTGTCCTTGCTTAGGTCCTAGCTTCGCAGGCTCAGGCTGCAGCCGACAACCTCGTTGCTTCACGTGGTTGGCTGAAAAAGATGATGATGGGTGTCTCTGAGCAGCTTCTCAGAACGCATCCGTTTTACCGTCTCCCTGAGGTAGAGCCATTGCTTTCCGGGCGAAGGTTTAACAATCTTAGAGAAGACGAATACCGTCCTAAGGATCAAAAGCTAATCTGGTTGCTTTCGAAATGCAGGAAATTACTGACGAAGGAGCGGTTAACGACCAGCGAATTAGAAGTTCTCCTGGAAAAAACAGAGCAACTGTACAGATACGCAACAGGACCCATGCCTACCTATAAAAACACGAGACCTGCAGTTGAAATTTTGGGGAGGGTATTTATGGTGCTGGATACGCTATATTGTGCACTAGAGGTGCTTGGAAATAACGCTAGGAGGGCTGATTTGTGGCCCGCTGTAGTTCATCACATACAAAACGCAGGGTATCACG